ACACACACACACACACACACACCGATATGCACAGTTAAGTAAATACCTCATCTGAATTTATGATAAATGAGTTTTGGTTCTTTTACTTTTACAAACAGAACCAGGAACTAAAGAACTCCAGGAACTGCACTTCTCTACGCTCCACTTTGAAATCCGAAGACAGTCCAAATATTCAGCAATTGTAAGCAGTTTACTGTCATCCAAGTCGCAGCTACTTAATATTTAAGGAGCTATAATGATACCTGGAGCATTTTTGCGTAATGCTGTATTTTATATTTATTTACCTGTTATTTGATCAAAAGGTCACTCAGTAAGATCACATTTGCCTCAGGCAAATATAACTGGGGTGGAACGAAACTCAAAGTTCTCAAAAACAACTTTTCCTGGAAAAGCAGTGGCGGGAAGCGGCGTCCTCGGAAGTCTCTTTAGCTTCCAAGAAAATAAATTTTGGAGTCACGTAGATTCCAAACTCAGGATATGAACAAAATAAAAACTGTAAATCAAGAAAAGAGCAGCTGAAGTGACATCTGTGTGAGCCCTCCTCTTCCTCTTTGCCTTTTGGATGGACTGATGCATGTAATGGATGGATGGAAGCATGAAAGTCCCTGCTGCTGGATGTCCTTCAGTCCATCCTTTCTCTTTCTGAGGAGGCAACATCTTGTGTGACTGAGTCGGAGGATGGTAGAGAGGACTGCTTTGGGCTGGACGGTAATGATGACAGACACACACACGCAGCAAAAAACATCCTGCTGCCACCACCGAACAAACACACAGACACAATTGTCCTATGACTGTGAGATGAAGATGAGGAGGAAGAGGAGGAAAAGGTAAAGTCCTTTTTTTTTTCTATTTGCAAGGTGGGTTTAAAATCCCGCAGGAGAGCAGAGAGGAAACAGGAAGTATCGTGTGAGGTGTGGGGGCACTGGTACAAGATGTGCTGTGAGGGGCTTTTGAGAAATCAAAGGGTCAGAGGTCAGTTTGATAGGGAGCTGGGGGCGTCAGGGGAGAGGAAGGAAGGAAGTCAGAGTTCACATCATCACGTGGCGGCGGCGGTGCAGAGAGAGGTGGTCAGACCGGGAGAAGGAGCGGTCGCATTCGGTGCAGCGGAAGGGTTTGATTCCGGTGTGCTTGCGAAAGTGTCGGGTCAGCTCGTCGGAGCGGGCGAAGCGCCAGGTGCAGCCTTCCCAGGTACAGTGGTAGGGCTTCTCTCCTGGAAGAGACGAGGAGAGGAGTTAGCAGGAAGGAGGCAGGGAAGGAGGTTAAAGAAGGAAGAGGAGGGTCAGGACGATGGTGGACGAAATTGAGCAAACAATTTATTTACTACAGGTTATTTACTACAATTACTCTACCTAATCATGTCAATCACTGTATGATCGTAGAATAAAATTAAGATAATATTCAACACAGGAGCTTCAAACAGCCAAATCCTGCTTACCCTTCCTACACACACCTTAACAGTGTCTTACCTCAGGAAACCTGTCTGAAAAAAAATACCATTGGGCACTTTTTCCCTAATCTCCTTCAGATTAGGGAAAAACTACTGTCTGCTGAGAGCAGATAAGACGTGAACTGTGCACTGACAAATGTTGAGCCACCGGAGGTTACATTAAATTCTGTAAAGGGGCCATTTTAATCCTTAAAGATCACCCTGCAGTAATCTGTAAATAATGATTCTGGTCTTCACCTGGAGATGAACTGCTCCTTTCAAAGAACACCTGGACTGCACTGATTTATTTGTGGCGTTGTTGTGATGCGTTTCTAGGGCCGAGCTCACCTGTGTGTATCCTCCTGTGGGCTTTGAGGTGGGAGCTCTTGGTGTAAACTTTTTTGCAGCCTTCGTAGTCGCACATGTGGATCCGCCGCCTCTTGATGTCTGGCGAATCTGGATCGACGGGCTCCAAGTCCATAACCGACCTGAGACACCGAAAGAGGAAAAGGACGATTCTGTTGAGAAACGCTTCTTCTTCTCTCATCATGTTCAGGAGAACTTAACACCGATTTAGCCACCAGGGGGCATCAGAAAGTCACACAGCTCCATTTCGATATTCCTCCCCTTCCCTCTATTTGTCTTGAATCGTTTCACCTTTAAACTTATTTTTTACTCCCTTCTTTCCTTAAACCCATGAGATAAACTCAAAATTAACCCATCAGCACTCCTCTTTGTCGCCCTTTTTCTACCTTTGACTTCTTCCTCTTAAATGATGCTTCAGTTTTCCAAGAATCAGCTGTGTGAATTCTCATATTCATATTTACAGGCAGTCAAACTTTAAATACATTTGATTGGAAACAAAAAGACTAAAAAAATAACACCGCTGATGTCCCTCTTTACAAGGAGGTGTGACGGTGAACTGCATTACATAAGCTTGTTTATGCCCCTGCTCTGGGACAGCCCTGCCCTGCAACACACACACACACACACACACACACACACACACACACACACACACACACACACACACACACACACACACACACACA